AGAGGCTGAAAGCTGAAAATATTTGGAATCCATGATGGAAAAAAAAAATGGCCGATGTGTTAAAAAATAATTAAAGTGAATATTCTGTGGATGTAAACTTTATTTACTTATAGAAATTGACATTTAAGCGTGCCACTAGAGTAATTATAAACCACAGAGAAGCAACAGGGGCTCTGATCAGCCAGCTGTTGTGCTGTTACCTCATATAGGAGATGACAGCTGGCCAATCAGAGCTCCTGTTGCTGCTCTGTGGGGTTGACCTCATTTCATGTTCAAGTGGCACATTGTCGTGATGACAAAACACCAAAAATAATTACATGACTGTAAAAGGAATTAATTAACAACTGCTTTTCGAAGTGTATCAATTTATGAAGTGATAATTAAATCCTGAATTAGTGGCCGGAAGGCAAACGTCTGACTCTCCACACGAGGAATTAGCTACTCGGGTGAAAGAGATCGCTGTAAAAATGTAATTGGCGTGTTTTGACGGAGCCTTCCGGGGGGCTGAAACGAGACACGCACCTCGTCCGTGAGCCCAGCTGGGCTGCAGGCTGGCGACGGGGACACAGTATCCGGTCTGTGGGGTGTGAGAGAGGTGAGACAGGCAGCTGGTCCAGTCCTCCACTCCCCTGACAGGACAGTCCTCCAGCCCAGTGACGATGTCCCCGACCGACAGACCCCTGGGACCGTCAGCTGCAGAGCCCTGAACACCGAACACACACACACACACACGACTCAAATGGGCAAAAGGTCACACTGCTGGCTTCCATCCTGCAAGCTGGAAATATTAGTTGGGAAACTCTGGGAGGGAACACGGATTGACAAACACTTTATTCTGCCAAGTGCTGCCAATGAGTTCTTGAGCAACAGACCAAATCAACAACCATCTGTGGCTGCAGTCGTTTTGCAGCTCGGTGATTTTCTTTAGTTTCTAGAGTCAACAAATCCCACAAAAAAGAACAAAACAAACAATGAATTCATCCGAGTAGCTTGTCTGATTTTGAGCTCCACTCAGTGTGTTTACGTGGACGTGTAGCACCAGGTGTAGTGTTTGCACATGTAAACACCATAAACTGGAATAAACTCTCTGGAATAAACGTGCGAGCTGGCAGCATTTACAAACCCTTTCCAGGTTTCCGAACGCTGCCAACCACTCGTGCCTCTTCAGCCAAGTGACACAACAGAAACAAACAAGGGCAGTAGCACAGGCAGCGCACTTCTGGAGCGCCTCGAACACAGTTTGGTTTGTTTGGGAATGGAGCAGCTAAATAGGCTCGGTAATTTAGACGGGAGGAAACCTTTGTTTGTAGTGGATGAGCTGCAGGACACAGAAAGTCAGATCATAGTGGAAGAAGCATTTTAATGTGGCCAAACATCAAAACAGAGGAAGCAGCTCTGATCCAGGAACAATGAATGTTGAGGAAAGTCTGCAGCACGGTGTGTCATAGTGTCAAGGCTGCTTCAAACCAGAATGGGCTCATTTCCAACAGCCACAGACAAATTAATTCTTGGGTTTGTATGTAAACATATCCCACCTGCCTAAACAGCAGAATGCAGCAACCAGGAAACAAATATGAGATCCTGACTGATATCATCAGTCGGCATGAATTTCAGTAGTTTTTGGCCTTTCATAAATGCATCATTGTTGCTGAACATGTTGTCCAAATGCAAAGATCTGAAAACATAACGTCGAAAAAGAAAAGATGTTTGGGGTAATTTAAAAACCATCACAGTTTGCCGAGTTTCTCGAATTTCGTTGGCGAAAATACTCTCAGCAGCACATGTAGCAGAGTCAGTGCAGCCGAGCAGATGGTGGTGTTTAGTAGCTAGTTCATGAAATATATTTAATTAAAGTTAGGAATAGGCCTTGTCCCTTTTCAATACAACTCTAACATCTGTGTGTGTACTTAAAGAATATTGTCTCACATATCAAATACACATTTTTACTCCCTAAAAATCACTACAAGGCCTGATTTTAAGTCTTTTACTCACCATTGTTTGTTGTATTCTTGTGTTGGATGGTCAGATTTGCCCACACGAACGAAAAAACACTGGCATATTTTAATTTATAAATGTATTTTAGGCTTGCTTTCTAGTTATTTACAGATTTTTACTTGTACAAAAGCTCCAAGTGGCTACAGTCTGCGGTCCCAGGATCTGTTCCTAAGGCTAGAACTGAACGGGGAAAGAAAGCTTTTAAATTCGCTGCTCCCTCTACCTGGAACACATTTCAAAAAGACCTGAAACTTCAAGATCTGGTCTCTTTAAACACGTTTACAGTGTTCCTAAATGACTTGGAGGCAAAATCATCAGTGTGTAGATGCTTCGACAGATGATTATTTTGCCAGTTATGATTCTGATCTGTACTGACATGTTGACTTCTTATCTTCAATATGTAATCACCATGTATTATGAGGATGATGTCTGTGTGGATGCTGTTGTGACCTCGTCTGTCTGTCTATTGTGCTGCTGCCTGTCTTGGCCAGGACACTCTTGTCAAAGAGATTTTTAATCTCAATGAGCCTTTTCCTGGCTAAATAAAGGTTAGATTTTAAAAAATAAAAATAAAAAATCCAGTCAAGGACTTCTTAAACCACTCTGTGTTTCATGTAAAAGTCATATCCTGAGTTAACCAACATAAGACTCTAAATGTAAACACACTCATTACTGGAAAAAAAAACTAAAGTGACATGTTTCTACATTTCAAAAGACAAAACCTCAGCAGTTCGTTTAGAAAACGTGGCCACTTTCTGACTTCAACAATTCTAAGAAACTATCTTCCAGAGATTTGTTTCAGATTCAGCAAACTTTATTTGTCCCCAGGGGGCAATTAAAAAACTACAGAGCCCAAGAAAACCCCAAGAAACTTACACTTGAAAACACTTGGATTACAACACGCAGGTGACGAGGGGGCTATTTTTTTATTAACGCAGGCCAAAAACAATCAGTTCAGTGAGTTTGTTCCTCTGCAGCTCCAAGAAATAGTTTGGCGTTTTTGGAAAGACCAACTGTTTAAAAAATCCTCCCACTATAAAGCTTATTAACTGGCACATGTTTGTTTTACCAGTTCATAACTACAAAACTCTGACCAGAGTCGTGCCAGCTGCTTCCACTCTTCACAACGCTAACTTAACCAGCTGCTGGCTGCACGTCAGCGTACAGTGACATGGCGGTGGTATCGATTTGCTCATTTAACATCAGCAAAAAAAGGAGCGTCTTGACTAAAATCTTAAACTTTTCCTTTTAACCTTATGCAGACAGAAGTGGTTTCTCCCGTAAAAAAAAAAACCTGCAGCACTGACCTGCACGACCTCGGTGACCAGCGCTCCTCCTCCGGTGGAGTACATGGGAAACAGGAAGAGAGGCAGCAAGAAGAGGAAGGCCAGCGCTGCCACACACAGAACAAAGTTGTGCCACACACCTGGAAAGACAAACAGAAAACAGCTTCTAATACTCACATTTTTAGCGAAGAATTAAATAAATGTTCAGTTAGAGTTGACTTTTCAAGAGAGCTGCTGCTGACACCATCATCATATAGTCAAATCAGGTGGATATCAGTCTAAGTTACTGCTGTTTTACTACAATATTTCTCTTTTTAGCTCTGTACTGAGCTGGATTGGAGGTACAGGGACAAAGAAAGCATGTCAAAAAGCAATTATACAACACCGAGTATGAACAGGAGGAACAATAACCTGCTTCACAAGGGCATCAACTTGAAAAACTGTAAGCTCGCCCTTTAACAAGGCTCCAGCTAGCGAGTATTATACTGTTTTTCAGCTCACATAATGTCCTTAAATGTCTTATTTTATCAGATTATCAGTACAAATGCCAAATATATTAATTTTGCCATCACAGAAAACTGTAAAAATTCACATTTAAGAACCTGAAATAGTACATTTCAGCATTACTCCCTAAAAAAAAACCCACTTCAGAAAGAAAACAGCAGCTTATAAATGTCTGTTTCACAACTACATACATCAACAAGTAACATTTAATTAAACATTTTTATTCATTTCTAACCAAGTATTCAAGAGGGGCTCCTGCTTATCTAGCGCGCCACCACTTATGGCTTCATATAATCCAAAGAAGTCCACACATACAGAGAGGAGGCTTGAGAGAGGCTCACATGGAGCTACTGTGACACCGACCACAACACCAGGGTGAGACGGTGAAGCCTTGATGTTTACGGCTCTAACGACCGTTTGCATGTTCTCCACATATTTTGTCTGTAGGATGTCGTGGCAAAACAGCAACCACTGCTCGCCAAAAATAGTCATCTATACCGTCTTAATTATGCGACAAGACTCAGTCAGTCTGAGAAAACCGCAGGAGGAAACGTCTCATCGGCTGACGAGGTCAAGGCACAGCTTTGGAGTCCTGAACGTATCATTCAAACGTGTTGACAAGCAGCAGCGAGCGAGACGGTCTTTGGTCGGGGCAAAATTAAAAGCCGAGCACGTCGAGATATTTTGAGGAAAATCTTGGGAAGAGGAAATTTTCTTCCAGGGAAAATGTAAGCAGAGCTGGTTACTACGTCCTAATTAAAACGTTAAAAAAAGGAGGATTTGAATTTCTGGCCTACAGGCAAAACGCTTGTATACATATGTGACGCTGATTTATGTAGTAAACAAATGATTAAAGTTGCATCACCTCTCGCTACAGGAATAAATAATAAACAAGTTATGTCAGACAACCCCCCTGCGTGCCGGGCGACTTCTGCTGTGGACGGAGAGAGAGAAATAAATAAACACAGCACGCTGTTATGTCACCACTCCCCTGATGGGAATAGCAGCTCTCTCTCTCTCTCTCTCTCTCTCTTGTCGTGTGACTCGACTGGACGCCTCATGGATTCACTACAACGTTATTTTCTTGTCAGAAAGTCCAGGAGGAATATTTTAATAAATAGTTAAAGACAGGGATGGTTCTAGAGCAGCTCTTCACTGCCCTCTAAAGGCTGGAAACAACAGAGAAATCCTGCAATTTAGAATTTGGGGAGCTGCTTTATCAACTGCAAGGAGGTGAGGACAGGTAGCAACAACACAAACTGAAAAATTATCTGTTGGATTATATTTTAGTAAAGTACAAACTTTTTACTGTGATCACTGATGTATTAACACATGTGCTGCATTTCAATACCATAGCTAGTCTGGATGGAGCTGGTTTTATAACATGTCAGGTTGTCCTGCAGCTTTGCAAAACTCATAATCTGCTGAATTATTAACTGCAATGAAAAACTTAAGAGTTGCAGCTTGGATAACTTATTTTAGAATAAGGTCTATATCAGCGGTCCCCAACCACCGGGCCGTGGACCGGTACCGGGCCGCACAAAAAGAAAAAGGAAAGTTTTATCGATTTTTTTGTTTTTGTTTCCAGTGCAGTCTACAGGCTGTTTTATTTTGAAAAAGCACTAAATCGTCTTCCTGTCACTTCTGTCTGTGGTTGTTTCTTGCACTTGACTGTCAGTTTTCATGCTCTGCTGTTAAACGAAGCCGTCAGACTAACCGCTGCTGATATGTATAGAAAAAGAAAACGTCTTCCGAGAGCTTCTTTGGAAAGTGGGAGAGACTCGATGTTGAGACAGAAGAAAAAGTAAACACATATTTGGCAAGTCATTTTATTCATTTGTGAAACTTTTTAATAGAAAAAAATATTATTTTTTGTTATGTGTGCACAACCAGTCAGTGGAAATATTTCTTGCTGTAAAACTGGTCTGTCGTGCAAAAAAGGTTGTGGACCGCTGCTCTATGTAATACATGTGATCCTCCAAACTGAAATGCATCATTTAGTGCAAAAAAAGCTTCCTCTTTTTTTGCTTTTTTCTGATTAGTAAATATAAGATGTGCTAGAATACGTCAGAGAAAGAGGAAACAGCGCCTCCTTTCTCACAGATTCTTCACATTCTGGTTTATGTATGACCATCTTCAAACTGCCTCCTTGGCTGCTCTCTAATCAACATCTGCACACATTCTCGAGGCCACACTGCACTGAAAACCCTTCCCCCTCTAACCAGCTCCCCCTGATCACCTACGATGGCAGACATCACTCACATCCGCGCGTGAATAACTGCCACCAAACAATTCATTAAACTCTAATTTTCTTAATTGCTGAGTGAAATGATTTGATGCGATGCAGCTGCGCGCTGCTCGGCGATAAACTGCTCCGATTGACCTTCACTGGCAAAACAAAATGCTTGTAATAACTGTGATTAATGACTGTGATTACATTAGCTGAAAAAAAATATATAATAATAATAATCAGGGTGCCATTAGGAGCCATCGACGGAGCTCTGGATGGGGAAAAAAAAAACTTACCGGCACAGAAGATGCGGAGCTGCTGAGCAGGCGATATGAGGTTGAGGTGCGTTGTGAAGAGGTCCACGAACGCACCGGGATACACCACGAACACAAACATCCCGAAACCGTTCACCCTCACTTGTTCTCTGCAGGAGACAGAAACATATTACAGCCAAGAAGAGAATCAGACTTTAAACGCACAACATGAGCGTCAAAGAACACGGTGACACCAAACCAGGTTGGGAAATGACTCAATTTACAGGTAACAAACGTGGGCAGCTGGGATGACTTGTTTTCAATCTTTACATATTTATCAGACATTTCTGTTGAGTTTCAAACACAACCGATCGATTTGCACACATTCTCGCTTACATTCTAGATCACGGTGAAGCCAAACGTTGGTGCTTTCCTGCTACAACAATTAACAAGCTCAGCAGATGCGTCCAATAATAGCAGGAAAACTGGGGCGCAACTACATATAGACTGCTTATTATGCACCGGCCTCCCTGTAGGCTACAACAATAAACACCACTGCAAACCATATTATTAGTCCAAAATACATGTCGAGACGTCATCGGCTCCTGCTGTTCACTGCAGTGATGCATCGATGCGGATCTGAGGGAAGCCGAACCTCCAAATGTTTATCAGAAGGTCTGCATGCTTTGAAAGCGGCAAATGACAATGTGGTGGTTTTAGGATACCAACATTCTGCCACTGGGTACAAAATCCTTTCTCTAACGATGAACTCTCTACTTGGCAAAACAAAAAGATCGACTTACTAAAGGAGCCAAAGCGTGAGAGCAGTAAAACAAGAGTGAACCCTCAGGACTTGAAGCAGTTCGAGGCTTATATTCAGTCGACATTATTTCTACCAGATGAGTCAGTAAAAGCTGAAATGACCCTCCTCCAGCAGAGGTCAAATGTTTGTGTTCTTTAGCTAAATGATTCTGTGAGGACTTGGAAGTTATTCCATGAAGGTAGTGCGTCTGAGTGACCTCCACAGTCTAGACCGAGTGTTACCGTATTGAACCCAGCAGGATTTACTTTTGGGTTTGTTATGTAAATAGATTCTCATTTACATCTTGAATTGGGACCAGAAGAAATTCCCCATTTAATAATAATCTGATTGCGCAGAAGTAGATTTCAGGTCAGTAAACATGACACAAATTCAGCAAGAGAATCAGGGTTCTCCAAAGGAACGTCAACACAAGAGTAAAATTGGGATTTTTGCCACTTTAGTATTTGATTTTTAGATCAAAACAAGCCAATAACACAAAAATACATCGAAACTTGACTATACTGTTAACATGCTTTTCAGTATCTATATAAAGTTGTGTTTATTTATTCTCTATTTGCTTAAAAATAACTTCAAATTTATTTTTTGTCCCAGAGGGGCGATTTGTTCTGCAGCAGCTTACACAAGAGTTCACAATAAACAAACAATACAAACAGTAAAAAACACAGATTAAAGGAAATGTTTAAAAAAATGAAGTAAAGAAACACAATAAAAACAGTTAAAAATTCCACAAAACATAAGACAGACAGGGACACTAGCTGCAGTCTTCATTCAGTCAGGTGTGTTCCAGTGCAAACAAGAGCAGCAGAAGAAGTCAAGTAAGCAGGTTAAAGAGCAGCACAGGACATGATCGAGTACAGCAGCAGAAACACAGTGCATCACCTCCTCCTCCTCTTCTCAGTGTTTAGAGCTCGGATGAAGGTCAGCACAAAGAGAACTTATACCTGTTTTTTGTGGCCTGAGGTCCTGCCAGGCGAAGGCCGGAGGGGAGCAACTTACACTCCTGATTGAGAGGATGAGTAGCATCCATAAGAACCAACTGAGCTTCCTTTTTGATTTGTATATTAAAAATGTCTTCAAGACTATTAAAACACGCCCAGCTACTTTAGAGGCTACTTTTACTATCCTTCATGTCCTTGTTGCCAAGGTTACCATTCCAACATATGATCGAAAACGAAATGATTGACTGGATGAAGGGAGAGTAGAAGAGCTGCATGGACTGGTGACCTGTCCAGGTGAACCTGCCTTCACCCTGAGTCAGCTGGGATACACTCCAGCCCCCCATGACCATAGTGAGGATTAAGCGGTGTATAGATGATGGATGGATGTATGTATGTGGGGAGGCTGCTCGCCATTTGTACGCAGGTTGTTTCATCTTAAGCAATCACTGATGCACACAACGCTCAAAATGCCATTGACACGAGTGGATTTACTGTCACATATATATCACTGGGCAACCACTTCTGGATTTCGTTTTCTTTTCATATATAAAAGTACATTTTCCTCATGGAGCAACTGGTGGCAGGACTGAACCGAAAACACTCCTAAAATCTATCAAAACACTGTATTCAGTTAAAAGCAGCCTTTACTTTGCAACACGTGGCAGCTTTAACAGGATTTTTTGATTAAAACATACACGGTTGCGTTATGCGTGGGGGTCACTAGTGAGCTGCCACCACGGTAATAAAAGCCCTGCCCACTTCCACCTGCAACCTCGAATCCTCAGTAGGCCCCCAAAAAAATGTGAATAAGAGGAGTGTAACAAGCTGTGGAGAGAAGGATTCAACACCCTTTAACTCTCCTGTGGCCTGTGGATGCTCTTCACCCCTGCTGGTTGTCATGGCAACACATTGTGTATGTGTGTGTGTGCGTTACCTCAACGCTGCCACGGCGTGGCCCAGCTCGTGTATGATTCCACTGAGCAGCAGGGCGATGAAGAAGTAGGCCAGCTGACTGGTTGGCAGATTGACACCTGGGACCTGAAAACGCATTAGAGACCAAAAAGAAGCTGTGACTGATACAGAAGCACAACGTGAACATTAACACGAATCAGCTCGGCTTTATGGGTATTTTTAATCCTCGAGTAGGAGGACGTTTAATTGAAACATGGTGTAAGATCTTCCCCTGGCAAACAAACACCCCATTTGTACCACCGTCTTTAAGTCTTCCTGCTTTTCTTTTTAAGGCTTCTCCTTCATATTTATCGCTTTGTGTTTTGCTGAAGCTGAGCTTTTCCGTGTGGTCTGTGTTTCTCTCTCCCGCTGGCCGTGCTGAGCATTTTCTGCCGCTCCAGGCTGAATTCTCAGAAATAAATGGCCTGCTAATAGCCTCCCATGAATCACCGACCGAGGTCCGCTGGGGATAGCGCTCACACTAATGCGCGCCTATTTGACACCATAATGAATAAAAAAGTGAACAGGAAAAGTGCTGCTCATAATTAGGGGGCTGTTTTTTTTTTTTTTCTTGCAACCCTCGTTTGAATTTCACAGGCTCTGAATGAACTTTGAAGTTAATCTCTGACCTTGAACGCATAAACGACGCGCGCACACCCTCGCTGATTGTACCTAATTGAACATTTCCCGCTGAAAGTCGCAAACAAAGCATCAATTACCCGCACTTAAATTCTCATTCACCTGGTTTGCCTCGCGCGTACAAGTTCATAAATCAACGTACCACCACCTGCAGCGCTTGCTGGCCTCCTATCCGAGGGTTATCTGTGGTCATCTGAGCAAACGTCTGCTGCAGCGTCTTGATCAGCAGCACCACTGAGCCCACCATGGCCACGATGCCAAACATCAGACCGCTGTTGAACCTGGAAAACACCGACATGAAGGAAACTATTTAAAGAAAAGTCACTGAGTTTGGCTTTATTAACCTATAAAAGAAATAAATCTAAACAGAAGAGAGCCGAGAAGAGCACCTGAACTTACGTTACTCTGCAGAAACAACAGATGCAGTCGTTTTAAAACAGAAAGTAACATCTTTAAATGTGTAGCTACACAAGTCACACAGTGCCTATCAGTGAACTAAACACCAATTTATTTTATTTTCAGGTTTCCTTTATTTAACTAAATATACATTCAGCATTCCAATTTTAACCTCCTGTCACATATGGCACTTCTGTTTTCTAATTTTAGGCTGTTTGTGTTGCGCAAACCAAAAACAAAAAGAAAATTTTTATTGTTCAGGGTTTTTTTTTACCATTTACTTGCTAAAACTCTGCTGTCGTGCCCACGTCAAATGAACAGACAGACAGATTACTGTACTTGTCTAAATATAAAAAGAGAAGGTTTTCTTATGCTTGGTGACTGGACAACTGCCTGTTCAGATCATCTTTATGAATATAGAGATTACAGATCTAGTGCAGCAGTGCATTATGGGTTGTTTTTAGCCTTAATGCTGCTAAGTTAGCAAATGTTGTCAAAATCTGTTTATGTGTGAGAGCAGCTCACTGCCCTGTCATCAGAACAACCACGCCCTCTAGTGGATGAAAACAAGGGATGTCAAAGTGCTGACACCAAACAGGAAACAGAACTTGCTGCCTCATTAAAGACAAAACTGTTTTTTTTTTTCTTTACTTCCCCAAAGGACATTAAAAGACTGGATCTGAGCCTTTAGGCTTGTGCTGAACAAATAAAAGGTTTTAAATTGAAGTTGCAAAACGAGAAACTTGGACAAAATGCAGAGGTGGCAGCACATCAGATCCAGGGTTTAATGTCTTTACGTTTTGTGTCTTGTCTATTCCAGAAGTGCATTTCGCAAAATTTACGAATGAAATGATCCTGAAGAAACGCTCTCTCATCCTGCCTGTACTACTGAGTATGTACAGCAAAATGACAATAAACCTGATTTGATTTAATCTGTTTTACAGTCATCTTTGTGTGACAGTCGTGCTTTTGACTGCGTCTCATGTGATAACGCTCCATCACATGTTTTAAATCTACTACACGGTGAGTATTGTACTGAAGGCTTGACCTTAAAAACACATCACAAATCGATTTACAATATTTATTAGTTTTATTATTTTTCCCCAAATTGTTGAGCCCGACTTCAGATCAGTTGCAGAGAGGATGAAAATTGTTATGTGCAAGACTGATCCAGTAAGTTTGTGTACATTTGTGACAAACACTCAATCAGAGCTGGTTTGCTAAACATGTCTTCAGCCTTATATTGATAGCAATGGAATAAGTTCACAGTTTGGCACATTGGACAGACGACCAAAACAGCAAAATAAAGTGTCTAAATGGCTATAAAGTGACAGAAATCTATTACCTGATGATAAAATAAAGTAGTTGTCTACGTCAGGATACAACACCTCTGGTCACTGAGTAGGGAGTCTTTCAATTTTTTGTTATATGATATAAATCACTGATTGACATCAAAAGCTAAAAATCATCGCAGCATTTTAATGTTTTGCTATTAAATTGGTTAAGACCTTGAAATTTGTATTAATGCAACTCAAATTAGTGTTGCTGCTTTCACCTTCAAAAGGTTGGGGGACATTACCCGAGGAAAAAGACGTGATGCTCTCATCTGTAGCGAGTGTCAGTCAGCAATAAACAAGTCATTTATCAGGTGGCTCCTGTGTTCTAATTTACTTGTTCATAGAGGAAATAAATTCATGAAAAGTGAACCAGAAATTGTTCAAAGTGGCCAAACGCTGTTACATTGTCAAATTAATTGCTCAATTAATTGTCAAAAGGTAACGAGTGGGAGTGAAAAGCTTTGAGTTAAATAACATCAAAGTGCAAACGACTTTCTTAATTAGCCTCTTTTTTGGAACTGAGGTGTTTGAGGTCAACAATTTCAAAAGCAGGAACCTGAAAGTGTTGATGAGACAAGTCCAGAATTAATGCAGGAGGAGAGAAGTTTAGAGTAACTCGTGACAGAGAGGTTTGTACCAGAGGTAAAGGGCCCGGGGGTTGATGCGGGCGCAGTACGCAAACAGCCGGTTGAACATGGTGGTCTGCCATCTGAGGTGGAAGGGAGACAGCATCAGGCCTCGGCTGGCGAGCCACGACTCGTAGCTGATCCGGTGCGTCACAGACGACTGCAGGACGGAGATGAAGTCAACAGAGAAAGTCCATGAACAGTTATGGAACAGGCTTACATCAAACTGCAGTTAGTTTGTGACAGAAGCTGTGATTTAGTTTATTTTCGTTCCCACAGATCCCCCAATGCACTGTCTTCAAGCATTTAGTCAACTATAACTACACGATTTTCTGGAAATTTTTGCAGGTATCCAGGAGAACATCTTTGACTTGTTCATTTCTAAAGGCTACAAAGTGTTTCACAAGGTGTCCATCCAAACACAGAATAAAAATACATAGAAAATTCAATAAAAGACAAGCAAAAATGAAAAGCAGAACCAGGAGACTGATCCATAACGTGGAGGCTGGGACAGTAAAAGCTCCATCGCCACCGACTCTGAACTTTGTGCGCAGCCACAAGATGACTAAGAGGCTTCGAGGATCTACAGCTTAACAGGTCGAGTTGTGGTAAAAGATGAAAACCTCTTCTTCAGGGTTTTTGCAGTGTTTACAAAATGAAACTGACATTTTCAACTCTACATGGAGCAAAATTTAAAACCTTTTTACAGCCATAAAGGTCAAAAAACATATCTTTGTCAGTGCTCCCAGCTGGTTATTGAAAGTCATGTTTAATCAATTAACATGAACATAACACTTGAACCTAAATAAGCAGAAAACTGATGGAAGGATTAACTAAACCATCTATATGTGATGCTACAGCACCACTGATGTACTGCACATACGTTTTAACAGGCATGAAAAAATAATCATGACCTTCGCAGAAAAACATCTGACTTCTGAATACCACCTGAGGCCTTTCTGTATTTAAACAATTCTTTTAAAGACTTTTCAGCACCTGCAGACGACACAACGCTCTTCTGATAGATGTGACCATGATTAACACAAATGCAGAGAAAGTATAAATTAACTTGCAAATTAAAACCTTTATCTAACAGAGATAACACCAGGATGGTACAATAACTAATACAACGTAACAGGTGACTTTCCAGGATGTTTCCAGGATATTTCCTGTGACATAACGCTTGTCAAATATGGAATTAGTTAAACCGAGAGAATATACAGACTGTCTAATTTGTGAGGGTCCTCATTTGTCAAACTTTGCATAGAAGAGGCTCTAAATCTGTGCAGTCTGCAATGTTAAATCCTGAACATTTTACAACAATATATTCCCTGTAAATGGTTCTGATTGAGCACATGTTGCTGCCAAAATGGAACGAGGAAAAAGATTTTTAAAAATAAATAAATAAATAAAGACATGAAGTTCTTAGTTAATAAACCAGCATTAATAATTAATCATTAATAACGCTGTAGAGCTAGCCAAAATAAATAAATAAATGAAACACAAAGGACAAATCTTGGACAAAAGTGGTTTAAAAAACAAACAAACAACAAGGTAGATGCTCTGTCTCCTCCAACAAGAGCAGTTGATGAAGAAATTAAAAGCCAAAGACACACCTGCTGCACACAATTAGCAAAACAGCCTCCACAGGTGACATTGATGAGAAAAATCAGCTCTAATGATGGTTCTGAACGACAGATGACAATATTACACAATATGATTTTGCTTTATTTCTAATGAAATGTGCCTTTTTTGTGGTCTTGCTTCAGATAAATTAGCCCAAACACCTTTGATTTCTGTGTTTTGACACACGTTGCAGACAGATATAATCACTTATGTTACACATTTCTGTTTGATTTGAGCTTCAAACACATCACCAGGAAATATTTGACAACTACATGAACGTTATTGTATTTTATAGATGGATTTCTAGTAGCTTTAGGGCTAAGTTATGCTAACTTCAGGCTGTTATGGCCTGTTGATACAACCGCTAACAGGTGAAAGAAGCCCTCTATTCCAATTCTAGTAATAATTTACCTACTTGTGTCTGCTGGCAGCTTGTTAAACATGAAAATAAAAGATGAGTAACGCTCACCCTGAGCAGTGTGTCGGCCAGGTACACGGCACACCAGCCTGCCATCACAAACACCAGCAGGGACACGGGGATCATGGTGCCGCTATCACTCGACTCTCCGCAGACACGACGAACCGAACCCTGCAGCCTCCATCACCCTCCTCCGTCCTCCGTTTATAGCGCTGCCAGTGGCGGTTACACTCGGTTAGCGCTGCGGCAAAATGTCGACATTTTAAATTAAATTCAAACGGAAACGCTGCGTTTATTTTCAGGGATGCTGTGAATGGAGAGAAGCGTCAGCACTGTGCGACAAACCTCCGGGTTGCTCTTCTTCTTCTTCGCTTTCTTGCATCAGCGGCTTCTTCTTCTTCGCTGGCAACAAAACGGCGCACTACCGCCACCAAGTGTTGAAGTACAGAACAGCCCCTATATTAATTTAAAAATAAAATAAAATGAAATAAATAAATGTATAGCAAAAACAAATATTGTGTGAGAATAAAATTTGTAAAAATATACACAACAGCTTTAAAATACAAAACAAAGCAGTAAAAAGCATAAAAGCATAAAAATAAATATAAATATTTTTTAAATGTGTTTTAATTAATATTTAATATTTTGATTTTAAAAAACACAACTTCTTGCTATTTTATAAAAAAGATAGTAAATGTAGTATTTTCTTTTTTTTTTTTTTTTAATATGTCTACACATAAAACCAGAACTGCTTGAAGGGCAGCAGGAAATATGGAAATTTTGACTTTCAAAGCCGATGATTGGTCAATGTGGAAAATGTGACAAGTAAATTAAATACATTCTTCACTTTATTTTAATGGGCTTCGTCATCAACATCCATCTTGCTTTTATCTAGTCAGATTGTGTATCTAAAATTACAAGTCATGTGTTCTTTTAATAAAGAAACTCAAAAGGTTGTGTCAAGTTTGTGTTACAGGAAATTAGATCTTGTTGTTCCTTTATACTCCTTTTGCATTTCTGTTTTCATGGGTGACAGCTGCATGTTTTTTGCATTTCTTCCTCCAGTTGTAATGCTGTAACTTTTTGCAAAACAGGGCAACAGCCAACACCAAATATTACTTTGGACACTTGACCAAAGAAAGAAAGAAAAGCCAACCAAACCCTCAACACAAAGTGCGGAACAATCGATCGCCCACATTGGCTGAACCGTAGGCATAAAAATTAAAGTGCGTGTTTGAATATTGGATTTCGTTTCCCCAAAAGGTCAGGAGGGTAAAAGGACACCATTAAACGTGGATTGCCTGAGTCAGATGTAACAAGGAAACCAGGTCCCAGTATGACTCATTAAGCCATAAATGTCACCGAGGGGAACATAAAACTGCATGCAGATAATACCTCATATTCAAGCTGTCCCAAACTACAGCTCCAGTCCTAAAAAAGCTTGTTGAAGAAGTGCAAAGCATCCAGAATGACTCTTCATTTACATCGGCGATCTGACTGCAAAGTCAAAACATACTTTACATGGAAAGATTAAACAGTGAGATAGTAGTGCATGTTCATGTGGTTGTGGTTCAGTTCGTTTACATCTTTTTTTTTTCATTCTAGGTTTTTCCTCTTTGCATTTAAAGTTGAAAGTTTTGTTGTTGTTGGTCCAAATTAAGGGTAGTTATGGATTTTGAAGCATTTTGGTGCAACTTTGTTTGTATAGGCTGCATGAACAGACTCGTCTAAACCATCTCTAGGCTAGTAACTAGTATTTCTAGGCTAGTTACTAGAGTTCCTAGAATAGTAACTAGCATCACTATTGCCACTTGCATCCGTTGACCAGTCACGAGTATCTTTAAGCCAGCATCTAGCATTCTTCAACAATTCATGACAGTGTAGGCTATTGGCTAGTGTTAACCCAGTCTCACGGCAATTCGTGACATATGTCAGCTGCATTCGTAGGCTATTAACTAGCATCCCTACTGTGACTGCTAGCATTCCTAGACTTGTCGCGAGAATCCTTAGCATGCATACTAGTATTTCCATTCAAGTGACTACAATTTTTAGTCTAATGACTGCCATACCTGAGCTAGTCACTAGAACCCCTTTGCTAGCAACAAGTATCCCTAGGCTTGCAACTAGCATTTCTAGGCTAATCACTAGCATACCTAGGCTAGTGGTTAGCATTCTTAGACTTGCATCCTCAATTACCAACTAACATTCCTATTCCAATTAGCATTCCTAGGCCATTGACTAGCATTCCTAAGCAAGTTAGCAGCTAGCATTTCTAGCTAGAAACTGTCATTTCTAGCCTATAAATGACAGTTATAAATGACAGAAGAGCATTTCTAGGCTAGTAACTTGTATCTTTAACATCGAGATTAGCATTCCCAGACTAGTCACTAGCATCTTTAGCTAATAAATGGCATTCCTATTCCAATCACGAACATTCCTAGGCTAGTCACGAGCTTTCCTTGGCTAATCACTAGAATCGTTACAGTCACAACTAACATTTCTAGGCTAGTAGCTTGCATTTCCAGTAGCATCTCTGTCACTTGCATTCCTAAAGAACATTAAGGAACATTTACATAAATACAGTGTTTATAAGTATGCAGAATGTATGTAAATAGGTGAAATGCTGTGTGTTTAGAAAGGGAAGATGCCACACTTGAGTTTTTTCCTATGAAACCTTGCTTCTCTTTTCACTGGACAGAATAATGTACATTCAACATCTGTAAGACAGTTTTCAGATTCATCTCCTGGAAGCGGACGGTTTTTTGGTTTTTCTGCTTTCGAGTGATGTAATCCTGCGAGGTTGTGACTCGCCCAAGCTTATGGAAACTTGAACCTTGTATTGCACAAAGGAGACACTTTGCAAAACAACAGTCAAATGTTTGAAAAGTAAAACATTTGCATATCAGCAGACGCCGGATTTTCTAGACAGGAAGGCGTCCTCGTTTAAAGAGTTTGCAGACAGGTAAATGAACTTTTCCCACTGGAAAAAACTCCCCAAACATCTCTATCCGTGTAGCTTTAATGAAAACAACTACTGCATGCAACATTATAGCACTGTTATGATGGAATAATGCACTTTTTCACAGGTTTTCTTTGTGCGAATTACTTGATTTTTGTACTTTGTTGGGGTTAATTTATAATAAATCCAATCAAAAATGATGTGAAAGTACTCTGAGGCCTCTGCACCGCCCAGCCTTGGCTCATACAATAAACATATTCAGTATTTATCTGTAATAGGGCAGGACTCTCCCTGTCAACAGGAGAGGCCTGTGTGTGGGCTGTATTTGCATCTGAAATATATAACAACCTGCAGTCTGAAGCTCTTCATTTTCCTACCTGGGCACAGAGCGGCTCAGTGTAACAGGTGAGAGTGACAAGGATCCCAGCGGTTGGACACCATGGACAGCTTGGTTTGAGGGAAACTCTGAGATAAAAAGGCAGGTAGGTAGGACTTAAAAACACACAGAAACACACACACACATGCGCGTGCACACGAGGAGGCTGAAAAACTCATTTTACTTCTCTGATGCTGGGTCGGGTTCCACTCAGGGAGGAGTTTCGCGTCTCTCCGAGCCAATCGGGACGAGCGGAAACAGGTCAGGTAGCCGAAGAGGACCTCAGAGGGAGCGCAGGCAGGGCAGAGCAGCCACGCAAGCCAGGAGGTAAGAGAACACACATACACATTCACACACACACACACACACACATACACACCTATAACCCGGTGAGATCACAGCTTGCGGTTATGCATCAGCGTGTAAATGCAGATATACCAGCACGACTGCTTCTGCGTGCGAGTGTGTTTGTGTGTGTGTGAATGTGTGTGTGTGTGTGTGTGTGTCAGAGCAGAAATAGGCCAGTGCCATTTTAGTCACTGAGATTAGGAAGAGTGTTTGATGAAGATGAGGCTAAAAATGACCATACATGTCAGTGGAAGCATCTGTCATTGTCATTAAAGCGGGCAGTTTTGTGTTTCCTGCTCTTTTGGATATAGTTTGGTCTTGCAAGGATCTGAACTGAAAGACTTGGCTGCAATAGTAGCTTAAAAACTTTAAAAACAAGTTGGGATGTCAGGATGGACATTTATGCAGACAATACTGTGTGGTTTGAGCTAAAATGTTGCATTTTTTGAATGAACTTTGGTGTTTCAATTAAATCAGGGGTACAGTTCTGTATTAGAGTAGCTCCTGCTTAAATGCCCAGTTTTTTAAATGAACCTTGGTTCTGCAGGGACAACATGTACTTTAATTATAGTTTGAAACCTCCAAAACAAAATAAAAAATGTTGTAATAAGCTACCATACTTGTTAATCTAAATATTTAACGATATCATACAGGCGGACAGTTCAGTGTTTGAGTCTTTCGTGCTTAAATGCTCAAGTTCGCAAATGAAGTTTGGTCCCACAGGCGCATTCTTTCACTTCACTGAAACATTTGACTATTTTATAGCCGAACTAAACACTTGTGAACATCTTATAAGCAAACAGTGCTGTGTCTGAGTGGTTCACGCTTAAATCCTGCACTTGAGGAAGTTCTTCACTCTTTGAGATGAGATGTTCAAATCATGGACATATATGCACACAGCTGTATTTTTCATACTTTAAAGGCTTTTTTTGCATGCAGTTGGGTCTTGCAGGTCTATTTTTTGAAGGCACAGAACATTTTGTATGTTTATAAGTAGAAAATCTTCGGAAGATGCTGAGATCCAGGACCAAATGTTGGATTTTCATTTGGGTGCTCGTTGCTTAAATGTTACATTTTTTGAATGAAGTTTGGTTTTGCAGTCAAATCATTACACACATTAGCTTAAAAAAGTTGAAATCCAGAAGCATACTAGTCATTATAAACACTTTTGAATATAATATAAGCAGACAGTTTCTTGTTTAAGTGTTTTCTGCTTAAATATTCCATTTTTTGAATTAAGTCTGGTCCTACAGTTTAATGACTCTCCCTAACCGCCGTGTTTCCACTGCTCGCTGCTGCTGTTTGACTGTGTTTTGGTCCGTCGCCGTGTGTCCACGGACGCGTGTGCATGTGGATAGAAAGCAGGTCCCTTCTGTGTATCACTCGTCTATTTATAGTGAGAACAAATCCCAGATATGAGAGGAATCCTTCTACCACTTACAGAGAGAGTGAGAGAGAGAGAGAGGGCGGAGAGAAGACGAAAAGAGAAAGGGAAAGAAAGAGATGGAGGAGAGAGAGGCGAGAAGTGTGTGAGGGATAGAAAGTGGAAATCAACAAGCGAGAGAAGAAGTGGGTGTAAAATCTAGTGTTAGGCGATACAGTGCTGTGTCTTCAGCTGGTAAGTTACATCTGCTTTATGTTTGGTTCATGTGCTGCGTTTAGCTGGCAGGCCGTTACTGTCACACTCATTCAAAAGTCTGTAGCTTTTAAAGGAAAATTGTGGGAGTTTTCGAGGACCAATCAGAGTTTCCAGAATTTAAGCTGGACTCATTATTTAGTTCTGGTTTGAAAAACATAAAAAAATAAAAAATTTGTCCTTTTATTATTATTATCTTATTATTGTCAGCAAATATCAAAAACCAACTTTTTCATCTGTGTTTTTGCTCCAGTGTCCACAATTTAACTTTTTTTTTTTAATTTTTTTTTTTTTAAAGTATTTTGAAGTATAAAAAAGTTAATGGAAAAGGCAAAATATTAAAATTTTTGCACTCACTTGATTTTTTTAAAAACATTTTTCCAAAAAAGAGAGATAAGGCGCATACTGGGAGATGAAAACATATTTTCAGAATAAGTTCGGACATAACATTTCATTTAACTGACTTGACTGATCCATTTATTCAGCTTCTTTTTGCCTTCTCTTTGCCTCTGGACAAATTTAAACATAAAATAATTAATACAACTTTCCTCACCGAAAACTATTTCTAAAGATTTATGCCAGTTTTTTCTCTCCTTGATGCCAAACTTTTGCATTTCTTATCTTTCAAGGTCTTTTTTTAGCAGTTGGAATACATTTCTACTTTGTTTCTGGCTTCTCTTTAGTACAGCCATGTGTACTGTAGCCCATGCCACCACCTTTTGACAACACTGTGCTGCGTAGTGCATTCATTCTAAAGGAGTTAGCAAACCTCATTTACATTATTTGCTTAATGATCATACGTGAACATGGCTATAGTTTAGTTGACTTTCAAGCACTGAATGAGAATATATTGATGCCACGCTCATGTCTGCATGCTAAATATGAAACTGAAGATGAATAGCTTAGCTTAGCATACTTGTTTCAACATTACAGAACCAGGGGATATATATATATATATATATATATTAATGAGCATACTGCCTGGGGGTTGCTTCCAGCCTTTATGCTAAGCTAAGCTAATCGCCTGCTGCTACATGTTAAGCATGCTAGCATGAGTGTGGTATCAATCTTTTTGTCTGACTCTCAGCAATAAAGTGAAGATGCTTATGTCACAAAATGTCAAACTTAGAATGAGAAAAGGTCAAAAATGTATTATTTTGGATATTTTCTAAAGTTAGAGTTTATGCTAGCAAAGACATACTAACAAGCAGTAGAGGACTTGCTCAGATAACTGGTAACAGTAGGTAACTGCTGGTTTTGGACTTCACAAACAGCTAGACTTTACAGCATACGATTGTGAAAGTGATCATATTTGTATTTGTGCAGCTGTCTGAGCTCTAACTGACATTCTCGAAGTACAGTAATAACGTGCAGATTACTCACACATCAGGGGTTTTTTCTGGCTATAAAACGGACCATTGGGCTGCGATTAGGCACGATACCAAGCATGACTAATCAGCATACAATAAAGGTCTGTTCAACCTTTAAAATGTATGTATTTTCCTTCTATTTCTGGCTGTTTTATTAGCAAAAATGTCTGTTATGCTTGAGTTTATGAAACTCTTATTAACAAACCGGGTCAAAAAAATTGAATTCTTACTTTTATTCTCATTTCTTATCATTTTCGGCTGCAAAACATTCCTCTGCGTAGATTGAAACACCTCAAACTACGTTTCTGTCACGTGTCTGGTTGGAAAAACTGAAGTCTAAATAAAATTTGCATCTGCGTGTACACATGGAGTAAAAGTGAAACGGCTCGTCAGGCTCTGCAGTGTGGCGTCAGCGGGCCAGCTGCTACTAATGGCCAACATAAATATCATCACGTTGTGTAAGCATGTGTGTGTGTGTGTGTGTGTGTGTTGTGTATTCTGGGGGTGTCCGGGCTTTTGCACTCGTGTCAAGGACAGCAGAGCTTTTACTGTATGTTGTTGCCCAAACAGCACCCTGGAAACCGATGGAGATCTGCTCCACTGCACCTCCGAGCCGCTCGCAGATAAGATAAATAGGCCATGGAAACTTCTACGATTAGGAGCCACTTGGGCCACTGTTGATCTGTGAAATAGCTGAAGGGAGGGAGGAAGTAGAAAATAACTGAAAACGACCCGAGAGATATTGAGGAAGAGATGAGCTCTCCAAATTTTTGCTTTTTGTGAATACAATGGGCTCCTGTGAGATGCCTGTCTGCTGCTGCGTGGTGGAAACCTCTGCACGCAATATGCCTGTTTCACTGACGTACTTTCTGAGCTGAAATATGCTTAAAGTTGGATGAGTTAAATATTAAGAAAAAGTCTGGTTTAGAGCCTGTTTTCATCTTTTTTTAACCTGAGCATAAATGTAGACTCTTACATTATTATATCGTTTTTTTGTTGTTGGATTTGTACATTTATTTATTTATTTTTTGAAAGGTTGGATAATTTAATCAGCAGTTTAAATGAAACTATGTGATAGATTTAGGAGGGAAGTGTGTCTTTGATGGGATTGCTAGCAGCTCATAGATCTATGAAGCTACACATTTAATGGTTTTCAAGCTAAAAAAAAAAAAAAATTGGGGAACTACCGTATTAATATTTAAAGAGCTTGAGGGTATGTAGAAAACAGGAAAAATTAAAGCAGTGATGGGGTAAGTTTTACAGGATGTATTGCAAGTTTCGTATCACTTCCTGTGTGAAAATGAGAAAATGTATTACAACTTATTATACCAGTTATCTCCTTTGACCAGATATACTTCCAAATTATACTGTGGGCAGTAATTTTCAAATTCTGAATATTTTATATTTATATATTCATATTTTATATATATATTATATTCATATTTTCCCCCTATGGTCAAATTAATTATTCAAAAATGGTATGTCTACAATATTCTTTGTCAGTTCGCTCATTTGTGGACATTCATGGTGCCCAGAGGATGTATTCATGATGCCCCTACTGACTCTAGTAATTCCCTTGACCTCCAGTATGTCAAACTTTTGAATTAAATGGCTTTATTTATTTACTTAGCCATCTCTTAGCTGGTGTTGCTTCAAAGTTTTAACAGACATTCATGGTTCCCAGATGATGTATCGTACACTGGCTTTGAGGAGCCCCCTCATGATTCCTTTCGTGAGTTAGCGGGCATTTGAGTAAAATATTTCAAGTGTTCTGAGTGGTTTACCAAGAAATTCTGTACAGATTCCTGATCCCCTGAGGATAAACTGTAACAAGTTTGGTGATCCAATGATATTCCATCTGGCTCTTACGACGTATTCAACTTACCAACCTTAATATTTAACAATAATGCTCTGAAACACATGCAAAAGTAAAATCAAATGCGGTGAGAAGTTTGAGCATCAGCCCAGCCTGCTCAGTGAGACGCTGCCTGCACATGAACCTTGTGTTATATCTGGTCGTATAGCAGCTAGAAAGTATTTCCATAGTGTTCCAGATGATGAACACGTTGAAAACAATCTTCTATCTGCTATCAGGAAGTCGTGCTAAGCTTAACTTAATGACCTCAAGCTGCTGGGAGAAAAAACAAACTCTCCTGTGGTTGTATAATTCCCCGTTCTGTTGAATTCTAGTTGTTTTTATTAAACTGAATTGTATTTATTTGAGCAGTTCTTCCACAGTTGTTGCTTCTGCAGCTAATAAAGTTTCCCTAAGGGGATTATTAAAGCTCCTGTATGTGGGATTGGACGAGCAGCGGATCCTAAAAGCATGCAACCAGCGACACTCCTCCAGAACACATGAATGAGCAGCTGGGAGGACTAATCCATGAGATAGAGCGCTGCTGGGGAGTGGAGCAGACACCACGGCTCATTCACTGTCACCTATAACCTTCACCCCATAAAACAGATAACGATCAGAACCACAGCAACACTTCTCAGGCCTGTTGACTCCTTTAGTTGTTGGAGGAGATGTTGACTCATTTGTGACCTTTCACTAGGAAGGTATGCAGTCAGACAGGTAGGAGATTGGACTTTTAATACGTCTGAGTGCGACAGACAAAGGATGTTGTTCCTTCGATTGTCGGAGCATTTAATTAACTAATTGCTGTCGGCATGTGAAATGTCCTCAAACCTCATGCTGACTCTGAGGCAGCAGCTTCTTCCCCTTCGTTCAGCATCACACTGGGGTTCATAGATCTCTACATATAGTCTGAAGCCATGTCTACACAGGAAGTCATAAAACCTTTGGTGTTTTCCATCTGATGATAAAAGACAATCTATTTTAATCAATCAAGCTGTCCACACTGGCAGCGTAACGATTCGTGTTTTACTCGTGCTCTACTCTTGAGAAGGGGATCTTCACTGCCCACGTCTTTTTACTTGTGTTTTCCACATCATACAAGTTTTGGAAGCGTTCAGAAGCCAATAAACAATCACTGCTGCTGACATGAAATAAAGGGAAATAGACCTTAAGAGGGGGGGAAAGATGCTTTCGCTCATCTTTGTGTGCGTATGAAGGCAGCAGAACACAAACTGTGGAAGAGCATTTGTTGAGGTGAACCTGGCAGCAAACATCCAGTCAATCAGAGGCGTTGGTTGGTAACAACGGAAATAATATGTTTTTAAAAATGGGTGAAAAATGGCTGTTATTGGACATCCTGAGAAGTTTTAGCTCATCGTATTCTCAACATAAAAGCATCATCGAAAAAATTAACTTTTAACTAATAAAGTCAAGAAGCAGTGGAGTAAAAAAGTGCAATATAGTTTTAAAAATCATACTTGTATTGCACACTGTAGAAACAAATCTGCAAAAACAAAATGCAAAAATATGACAGCAAGCATGCCACGAAAAATATGTTAGAAACGGAGGAATATTGTACCGTTCAAAAACTGCAAAACGGTGAAAATAACAGCAAATAGTTGCATAACAATGATATTTGTGGCTGATTTAAATACAGTAAAACGCTTTAATTTTACAGTTACACATTGTAAACAATCAACTTACTATTTGTAAATAATATTAACATTTTGCATTTTTTTCAGGTTGTAGATGTGTTTTTTTCCCTGTGATTTTATCAGATATTAGCTATAATTTAATAAAAGTGGGAAAATCAGTAAAAAATAAAAGGTAAAAAATGATGACCATTTCAGTAAAATATACAATATACAAAATTCGTCCTCCCAGTAAAGTCAAATATCTGTAAAATTATATTTTTTGCAGATTTAAATACAGTAGAAATACATCATTTTACAGGAAAACATTTGTAACAGAACATATTACTGTTTGTAAATCGACAGATTTTTTAAAGTGGATGTTATGAACAGTTTGGCTAGGAGTTTTTGTTTGTTTGTTTTTCACAGTAAACATGTAAACCAATACCTTTCTTTCTGTGATTTTACTGATTATCATCTGTGATGTAACACAACAAGGGAAATCTGTAAAATAACAGTGAATTGTTCAAAATGACAGCTTTTTTAAGATCATTTTTTACAGTGTAGGATTCAAGTCCATGAGCATGATTAACCGTTAGTTTAGTGATAACACCATTGTACTAACTATAGCTGTTCATT